TTAATTAACTTACTGAATTCATTGTGATTAATTAACTTACTGAATTCAGTAACAGTTTGTTCGAAACTACCACTAGAATGGCTATTTAGCAGTTGAGAAATGCTCAGTCCATGTATTGAACACAATGATCATAACCATTATATTCAACACATCCACTGAGCACACTTAGCAAAGCTTACCAAAATGTGATAGAGAAAAAATGTATTTTTAATTAAGACCTGCATGAAAGCTCAAACAAAAATATTTTTTACAAGATAAAATGCTACAGCTGGATGTAGCAAGTAAAGGAATTTCATGCTACTGTTCATTCTTTTAATGATACTGCTTCATTTAAAACATATCAACAATTTCCAAACCAGAGAGGTACCATTGATATTCCTTAAGTTTCTTTTACTCCTTTTCAGAGTGGAAACACTTAGCAAAATGCATGCAACTTAGTTTGAATTTACTAAACAGTACCTAATTTGGATTGAAAAATTCATATAATGTAACTTAATATTTCTACAATTTTCTAAAAATACTTCTCTTCGTTTTATAATTTTTCGTTATTGAACTGAAAGTTCCATTTTATTTATATCTAGTCAGTTTAACTTGAATGATAATATATTTCTTTTGATACTATATTTTGCTGATTGCAGTAGTCACCACTTTCAGCTTTATAAAAAAACAGTAAAAAGAAAGACTTGTTTGTGATCTAGGACCTACCTTTCAAAATGTGCCACCATTATACTTGCAGGTTAGGTAACATGATTTTTGCTTTATTTTTGGTAAAGATAAATGATATCTAATACGTTCTTTCAAATAAATAATTTATTTTATGTGTGCAGTTTGAATATACTAAACCTGACAATAATATTCAATAAATAAGGATTTGAGTCATTTGAATATTTTGCCTAGACTTACTGCAATTTTTATATCTAACTTACCCAATATCTTATCATAGAAGAAAATTTATATACCTTTTAAAAATATATTTTAGATGAAAATTTTTTAGGAATGAAAAGAACATCTAACAAAACTATAAAAAATTTCTAGATCAATGGTTTGTTCCCAAGTCCTATAAACTTCACATTGGATTCCTTTGTTCATCCCTACAAGAGCTGCAGTTAATTGCATTCTCAAGAAACCATACAATACTGCTCAAACCATTTTATTTACTCTAAATTGATGTACATGGTTTATAACATTCTTTATAAACTGCCTGCAGCTATTTTCAAAGATATGATTTTATTAGTAATTAATCAGACCTCATAAAAGAAGAAACAAAGACGTATAGCCATAAACCCACCGACACAAAATCATGTGCAAAACAAGACATGGATATCTATATTCTCAAGGGAAGTTTGTTTTTGAATTTTGCGCAAAGCTACACGAGGGCTATCTGAGCTAGCAGTCCCTAATTTAGCAGTGTAAGAGTAGAGGGAAGGCAGCTAGTCATTACCACCCACAGCCAACTCTTAGGCTACTCTTTTACCAACGAATAGTGGGATTGACCGTCACATTATATCACCCCCACAGCTGAAAGGGCGAGCATGTTTTGTGTGTCGGGGATTCAAACCCGCGACCCTTGGATTGCGAGTCGAACGCCCTAACCACCTGGCCATACTGGGCCACTCAAGGGATGATAGTTTCTTAGCAAATGTGAACCAATAAATTGTTATGGGCAGAAAATCTATAAATGCACTTTTGTTTTTTACTTTTCTTACGCCAATACACTAAATGACAAAAAATGAATTTTTAAATATTTTATAGTTAAAAATTGTTGAAACAGAGTTAGAATTAGTATATTTTTTATTGAAATTTTGATATGTAGCTGTAAACTTGATACCTGAAAGATCCTATGTGGTCTGGAAAGGGTTAAATACAAATAATCGTAATCTTGTAATTAAAATCTCATAATTTAAGTGTGGGCATATTAAAAGCGAATTGAAAATTTTTTAACTAAAACACATGTACTAAAGTGTAGTTTTTTCTATATATAAAATTATATTTAGATTTTGTGCTGCTATTTTTCACAAACATTAAAGTGGAGTAGGATTAATACAAAATTTAAGTAATATTTGCATGTTTTTAATATCTTGTCAAATAATTAATCTTCAATTTTTGCAGTCACATAATAAAGTAAATATGGTAATAAACACATTATAAATCTGAATTTGTTTATACATTTTGAAAGTATGGTAAAAATAACTCCCCATGTTTCAAAATAAAACTTAATTTCTTTTTATGTACAATGAGCAATCTGTACTGGGCCTACCACGGGGATCAAACACTGAATTGTAGCATTAAATACCCTTAAGCTTGTCACATAACCACAGGGGAGTGACTTACACACACACACACACACACACACACATATATATATATATATTAAATCAAAATTATTTTCATAATCTCCAGCCACATCTAAACGTACTCGAAACAAAATTTTACTCATTATTTAAATATTACTATTATCATACTAAGACTAAATAAGATTTATTTTAACTCTACCCATTTCTTCTCCAGTTTTTGTTACTAGTTTTCAGAAAGATCTTGTATATTCCCTCTAAACTATTACCTGACTATTAGAAAAAAATATTTTGAGAAGCTTGCATATCTTATTATTTCAACTTATGTAAACATAATTATTTCCACCCATAAATAAGTTTTTTTGTTTGCTTTTATCAATTACAATTTAGGAAAGTATTTTTTGTTTCTTTTTGACTTTAAAAAAAAGGCTTTTAACATGTATATTTACCAGGAACTTCATCGTCATCATCATCATCATCATGAACTCCAGTATTTTCAGCCCGATCACCACTAGAACCTGCCATGTATTCAACAAAATTATCACTAAAATTGTGGGTAACATGAAACCCAACTAAATAAAATTCTAGAGAATTTCTTTCCAAATACTCAGGCATATTTAATATATTAATACATGGTCCTAAATTAAACTTTAGAAACAAAGTTGTGTTCTATTTACTATAATGAAAATATAATGAATACAATAAATATTTTTGCAGATATTCCATCCAAGACAGTTTTCTATTCATTTTTATTGAATAGTAGCTCGAAAACAAATTAGTATGAAAAATCTTTGTATTTGGGAATTAATATTTCTTATACAAATTACAAAAATAGGTTGAACTAAATTTCTAGACATTACTATTAATAATACATTAAGAAAGCAAAAAAAAAATTAAACAGAAAAAATTTAAATTAAAAAAAAAGAGTTAAATCAAATGAAGTCTACAGCTGAGTTAGAAATTAAAATCTGTGTAGAAAGCTGAAATCAATAGTTGAGTATTTTATTTGTTTATGTAGTATTTATATGACACTTTATTACCTCTGCCACCGAAGGTGGACAGAAGTTATATTTTCATACCTGTGTGTGTGTGTGCATGCATTTGTTAGCAAGATTTATTGAAAATAGCTGAATGGATTTAGATGAAAGATGGTATACATCTGGACTATAACCCAACTTAGAAATGATTAGTTTATGAGCAGTCAAGATCAAAGGTCAAGGTCACGAAAATAAAAACATTTCTATCTGTTAACATGAAGATTGATTTTTCACACTATTTTTGCTCTATAACTCAGTCAAAAATGATTAGATTTAGATGAAACTTGGTGGACATATGTAGAGTATCATTTCCCATTGTCCAACCAAAAATGGTCTGTGTCTGTTGATAATGGTGGAAATGTGGACAGATTTTTGTAATTTTTTGAGGGCTGAATATGATCAATGCTGCGTAGCTAAGGTATGCCCTCTACTGCATCCCCCTCTAGTTTTGATCTGTTTTAGGTATGTTTAATTCTATTCTTGTTGTTTTATTGATAAGGCTTTTTATGACTTCAACTTCAATTGTGCTGATCTTTTTACAGAGACAAAATATAGTAAGATGATTTGTTTTTCTATCAGACTTTAAAACTAACAATTATTTCCCCCTATACACTTCAATATGCTACCTTTAATTTGTTTAAAGACAAATAGTGCCCCATCAAAGTTCTAGAGCTTAAAGTAAAGTTTTTTGTTGAACTTTGTGTTTACATGTTAAAAAAGCATGTTAATTAAGATAAAACTACAAACATATTATGATAAATCAACAAATCATCATATGTTGAAAATTTTATACAACAGACATTCTGATATTGGAATAACTAAAAAGTATTTTTAATACTGAGAAATACATAAACCACTGCAAGAGCTCCAGCAGACTAAATTTTTAAAAACTACTTATACAGAGAAAAAAAGAAATACAGAATACTGAAAAAAAAAAGAAAGTACTAAAACAATTTCTACACCAAGAGTTAAAAAATGTTGTCATTTATTTTCACCACTTCATACTACAAAGAAGTCTCCTTACCCACTGAACTTTGAATATCAGCTAGCCTCTTCAGGTGTGTCAAACTTTCTGCACCCAGTTGGTTTAATATGCCTGGTAGCATGTCTGTGATTTCTGTCCCATGAAATATGTTGCAGATTAATGCGTAGGTCAAATCAAAACAAACAATAATCTCAGACTTCAAAATAAGACAATTGTACAAACACACACATATATATATATATATATATATATATATATAATTAGAACAAAACTAATAAGCTTAATATAAATACTGCTACTTGCGTTTTGGTTCTGCATGTCCCGTGATGGCAAATGTATTGGCTGTCAGGGAGGCTTGCACCTTGGGATTGTTGAAGTGAAGCACAGTTCCATCATCTTTAATCATATTCACCTGAAGTGAATTGTAAAGTGACATTAATAATTTAACCTGGAAAACTTTTCTTTGTTCAAAATGTAAAAAAAAATTCTTGTCATTCTACATACTCAACATGTAGTTAGGGTTACAAAGTTGTTGAAAATATACACAATTTGTTACAAATATTCTATATGGAAACAAATAATAAATAAACAAGTTTCATGTGTTTTAGTATATTTTTCTTTTGTTATTTGAGTAAATCTTTCATAAAATATATTTATGTTTGTGTGGAAGCATTTTTTCAAGTAATTTGTTGATATCAACAGGAATCTCGTTGTGTCTTTCTGATTACCACACACCAGGTATATTTGATTAACAAAGATTCATTACTGAAAATAACAGATAAAATATAAAGTTTTTCCTTAAGAAATGTCTGATAACTTTCTGAATATTATAAAGATTTTTCATGTGAAATTTGAAAATTTTCTGATGCACAAAAGTATTTTTAATCTTAAAATGAAAATTACTTTGCATGTTAGATAGGGAACATGCAAAAAGAAAAAAAAAGGCATGAGAAAAACATTGCTTTACAAACCTTAAGACTTAAAAAAAAATTGATATTTTGCATATGAAAACATTGTAATGTTTACTGATAATGTACCAAATTTCATTAACATTCGCTTACTAATTTAAAAGTTATAGCTATAACAAGCACAAAATGGTTACAAGGTCATTCACAGGGACCAAGCCCATGATGAAATTAACTAATAGATCATACTAAAATTTGAATTATAATCTACAATTTGATACCAAACTTATTGACATACATTCACAAAATAGAAGTTCAACAAACGCTATATGACATTACCCTTAACAATAGGGTTAAGAGACTGATCAACCAGAACACCAAGATTCTTTTCTTCCATAACACTATTAAAATTATTCCCATCAAAATGATACTTATTGTTCAAATTATGATATCTCAAATGCATTACCTTGCATTTATTATATATAATTAAAAGCCATCTGTCATTTAATATTCCAGAAGCATCCTCCTTACAGCCAGTAACACCCAAAACCTTAATATCGTCAACACTTTTAAGTAACTTATTGACCTTTCTTTCATGTATGTCACTGACTTAAATAAAACAAAGGCCCTAACACTATACCTTTTACATTTTGAGACCTGCTGCATTAAAAAAACCCAAAAAAAAACATCTTTATCTAACTGATTCATCATAAAAAAATAATGAAAACAGGTTTTAATTCCAAAAATAAAGTTTTTTTGGGTAAAAGTCTTATGCAAGGCAGTATAACAACAAAGTATGAAATAAACTGAATCTTCATACCTCTTCAATCCCAGGTATATTATTTACAGACAATTTTTTCAGTGAACTCTGAAGTTTCTTGTCATCTGTTGTTGAGGTTCTATGAACAACCTTTCTCTTGCGACGAGCTGTGCCCTAGAAAAAAACATAGCCAAACAAATTTTAAATCAAAGTACAAAGGTAATAATGACCAAAAACTAAATCAATAATCTAAATATTATCAGATAAACAATATTACATGAACATAATTCCCTGTCACATTAATCTCTGTTTACTCTATTAAGATGCAACAGGAAATACAGCAAACCTAGTTTGATGTTTATAACCCAAAAATCAACTGTGGGATCTCATAAGGTCCTCATCAATTTTTAAAAAGATTTTTCTATACTATTTATGCACCAAATTGCTTGTGAGTCCATGACATATTACAGGGTTCCTAATAAAATACAAGTTACACAGAAAAATGTAAACAAAAATACTGTTGATACTGCAGTCAATTCCACTAATTACTACTGGAGTTTCCTATGTATTTTATATAACAAATGAATGATTTCACCCAATTTTTTGGTCGTTTCTTCATAGCAAATGTTGCTATGAATATGTGGACCCCTGCTAGTAATGAATGGGATATAAAGTTTATCTCACTTAACTGAGATCATAATTTCATAAAAAGTTAAAGATTCCAAAAAAAATATAAAATGTTAATACTGACAATTTACTTTTGGATGAGTAAAAAAGTAACAAAAAGATATATTGTTCGTAGCTCTTAAATACTTCAAAACCTATTACTGAGTACAGACACTTTTTGTAAAGATTTCATACTTTGTCTTGACAATTATTATATAGCATGTGAGCATATAATTTTACATTCAACAGTAGAACCACTATTCATTAATCTCTACATGTGCTTATTTTAGACAAAACAAGGAAGTACAGAAACATTATATATAAAAACTGGCAGAATAAGCTCAACACGTTTGGAACAAGTGCATACCAGTATACATAGGAAATCCATAACTTACGCACTAAAATGCAGCAGCAATAGATAAGCCATTAACACACGATCTTTTTAATGATTATTTCTGACAAATAAATATTGTTTGTTTTTGATAATCCTTTTGGATGGGCATTACATTCATGTATCAGGTGTAACAGATTTAGAATAAATTATAATGTACCAGAGTACTGCAACATTCGCCAGCAGAGATTTTATGCTAATGTAACATTGTTTTATTGATAAGTATTAACAGTGCTCTGTATATTTACCATCCAATAAATACAGGTCTGTAGTCTTGTTATAGCAGGCTAGATTCCATTACAATGTGTATAGTGAAAACTTCAATCACATTTTATGGCATATTTCTTTCCCGGTGTCACTCAAAGTACCTAACTCTCATTAGGATATATGGAAGCAAACTTTATGAGACATTATTACACATTCACATTTTTTAGCCAATACAAGTTCCAAACCAGTAAAACAGTAACAGTAATTAATACCATGTGACTAATGGCAGCCACTCAGCATGCTGAAAACTGTGCAGATAGGCTACTATAACATACAAGACTGGATTACCTTTTAAGTCCTGACCAAATTAAATGAAAAATTTACTACTCGTCCAATAAATGTTTTTAGTTTTCATGCAGTTTTAAACAGCCCAGCATTTCTGATAAAATATTACATGACATTCAATATATATATATACATATTCTTTTTACACAGGAATATAAATAACTTTACTCTTATAAAAAATATCATCTGGTTTAAGGTAGCATTCAGTCTATGCACAGCAAATGCCTATTTTGTACTTACAGTGAACTCAAATGCTAAAACAGGATACACTTTACCAAAAACATGTTGTTTTGGTTATTTTATCACCATTACCCCCCCCCCCCTCCCTCTTGACTGTATATATATATATATATATATATATACTACTATAGTAACAACGAAGGACGTACCTACTTAAACAA